TCAGATCTAGAGGGAAAGCGTGAGAGGATATAGAAGACCTGGAATAATTATTAACCCAATTGAACTTGACAGCCTGAAAATTAAAACTACACCCGTGGTACATTTACCAAAACTGACCCTGTAACAGTTCATGAAGAAGCCTTAGTACATTTTAATAAGTGGCAATATCACAGACACCATTTTATGATTATAATGCTACAAGATTAGAAATCAGTGAGAAATTTTTTTTTTGGTACCGGGATCGAACTCGGGACCTTCCGCTTGCGAGGGAGGCGGCAGAACCACTGAGCTAAATCCCCAGCCCTAGAAATCAGTAACAAGATCAAACCCCCCCAAAACTCTTCTACCTGGAAAATTAAAAAATATAAACCCTTCTCTTTTAACAATTTTTGAGTGAAAGAGAAAATACAAGTCACAATGGAAGACTATCCAGGAAACAGTGATAGAACACTAGATCTTAAAACTTACTTATTACAGCTAAAGCAGTATTCAGAGGCTATTTATAGCCTTAAGAACTTATGCAATTATAATTGAAGGAAGCTGGGTATGGTGGCACATGTCTGTAATCTCAGCATTTAGCAGGCTGAGGCAGGAAGATTACCAAGTTCCAACCTAGCCTGGGAAGCTTAGTGACTTACTGAGATCCTGTCTCAAAATAAAAAAAATAAGAAGAGTTGAGAGTGGAGTTTAGTGTGAAGAGCATGGGTTTAATCTCCAATACTCCCCCCCCCCCCAAAAGAAGAAAAACTAATTAAGCATCCAACTCTGGGATCAAATGATAAAAATAAAACTGTAATTATAGAATGCTGAGGAAATAAATACCAAGACAATAGTAAGCAGAGGCAATTTCATAGCAGTAAATATTTCATTTTCATGAAAAAGGGACTCAATAAATAAATAATAGTGACAATAAGCGCTTAAATAACAAGACAAAAATAAAATAAAAGGAGAAGAACTATAAAAATAAAAAACTAGGGAAGAGAACCTGATAAATTGAAAAATCGAACTGATACTTTGGTATAAGTGAACTATGTAAATAACCCTCCAGCAAATCTAAATTAGAGAAGTAGTAAAAACAAGTCAAAATCTATAAGGAAAGTAGCATAGCAATGATAATGGAGAGTTTAAAGAATGTAGGAAAATTCTAAGTACAGAAGGTCCTCCATGTCCATGGGTCTGTGGATGCACATCTGTGGATACAACCAATCTCAGATTCAAAATATTTGAAAAACAGTGGTATCTCTACAGAACATTACTGATATATTTTCTTGTCACTATTCCCTAAACAATACACTATAAGAACTACTTGTATAACATTTACATTGTATTAAGTATTATAAGTAATCTAGAGATATCAAGTACATTGGAGCTGTGTATAGGTTATATGCAAATACTACACCATTTTATATAAGGGACTTTAAATTTGCAGATTTAGGTATCTGCAGGGATACCTCATGGATACCAAAGGATGGCTATTTATTTCCATACTAATAAATTTGAAAATATCTTTGAAATGAGCTAATTTGGGAGGAAAAGAGAAATAACAGAATTGTTCTAAGAAGCCACAGAGGACTATAAAAGAAATAGGAAAATGGTTAAAGAGTTACCTCCAAAGAAAGAGCCATAGCCAAGGAATTATAAAAGCAATCTCCTAAATTTTCAAAGGATAAATATTTCCTGTGATATGTATGCTATTCCATGGGAGAGAAAGAATTAAAAAGTAGAAAAGCTTGATTTTTATAGAGCTAGAATTTCCTCACCACCAGAATCTGATAATGCCCACCTATTATAAATCAAATTTATGAAATGAGTATATGTGCAAAGTCTTACATAAATAATAGCAAATGGAATCTAACCACATATTAGTATAATAAATCATGATAGCCAAATATACTTTAAAATTCAATCCCAAGAATATAAAAAGTTCAATATTAAGAAATGATTAATAATATTCACAGATAAAATTTCAACAGATACTTAAAATGATCTGAAAAAATTCAGTATCTTTTGATGACTTACAAGAATGTGACACTGGAAACAGAAAGGAGTTTCCCTAGTGTTATAAAGAATATCTTTTAAACCAGTCACCAGCATCTAATTTCATGACTTTAACATGTCTCTTTACCCTCAGAAATTGGATTTGTATTTCTTAAGAGTGTTCAGTAGTATATTTGTCTGGAAAGAGGGCCCATATTATATTGATTAGGGATTATGAAGAGCTCTATGACTCAACAGGTCAAGGTACCATGGAGACCCATGAGACAACCCTTTTGACAAAGACAGGAAAAGACTCACTGTTTTTACACTTACATAATCATAAAACATTGTTCTGTGAATTCTAATAATTTCATTTCAACAAAAAGAAATAGGCCAGTCATTTTAGATAGGAGACAGAATTACTATTAGCATTGAATGTGACTGATTGACTTGCTACCTGAAGAAAACCAACCAAAAAATTAGATCAGGAGAACCCAGTAAGATGGTAGCAACTATATAGAAACTCTAGTAAAAGAAAGATTGACATTCACAGTACCACCAAAAATTTATTCTAACTGGGAATAAACTTAATGATAAAATGCAGGCTCTGTATGAGGATAAATTCAAATAATAAAAGAAGTCTTGAGTAAATTGAGCATCATATCCCTGGATTAAAAAGTCAATACTATAAATGTGTCAGTTCCTCTCTACAAAATTAACTTTAAGTAAAGTGCAAGTCTAACAAAAATTCCAAAGAAACATTTGTTTAGAAATGGACTTAATGTTTTAAAATGTCATCTGGAAGGATAGCAGCTAAGAAAACAGGTTATGAAGCAGCAGTAATTAAAACCTAGTGTTGGTAAAGAGTAGACAGTTCAAGAGAGCAGAACAGAAAGATCACACAGAGGGATGTCTAATCATTTATGTATGCTACAAGTTACTGGAAAAGAGAAATAGTTTGAGCAAATAGGATCTTAGTTGATTACTTAACCATTTAAAATGAATGAAAAATGAGTTGAACTCTTGCCTCACACTGAGTAAGTAGCAAACTGAGTTGAATGCCTAATTTTGCTGTGAAGACATTTGAAGCATAATTTGAAAGACAGAAGCTATAAAGAAAAAGAGCTTTAGATGAGACTAAAAATTTCTGGTATGGCTGAAAAAATCGTGAACTTAACAAATGTAGCGTAAACAAAAATAAATATACAATAAACAAAAAACATCACAAACTTAGAAATATAACTGAAAGGCAAGTGACAAATGGGGACAAATATTTGTAAAACATTTGCTAGACCAAAGGTCAATGTCTTTACATACAAACAGACCTTTCAAATCACTGCAGAACAGAAAACAAACATCAGGTGATAGAAAATGGATAAATTACAGGGATAAGCACTTTACAAAGAATAAATTACTCATGGGTGAGAGACATGCAAGTTTCTCTAGAATGCAAATAAATTCAATATGCCATCTTCCATTTATCAAATTAACAAAGTTAAAAAATGGTGAAAGTGCACAATGAAAGACTAGACTATGGCCACACTTGCACACTTTGGGTAGAAAGGTAAATCTATATAATTTTGTCAGAGGGCAATTTGACTTTGCATATCAAAGATCTTAAAACGTGCATACCTTCTGACCAGGAATTCTATTTCTAGAAACTTATCACAATGATAAATTTGAACAAATGCACAAAGCACATGTATAGGAGTTTAAAAAACTTATGATTTAAGTGATTCTTAAAATCCTAAGATTAAAAAAATCACAAAACTCAGGGTTCATCATAACGTAGGGGACATTTATATAATTGAATATTATATTGTCATTGGAAAGGGTCTTGTAGAAGTATATTTTTCACCTATAAAGATATTCATGGCACATTCTTAGATTAAAAAACAAATTACAACACAGTTTGCATGTTGTGATTCCATTTGGCAAAAAATTAAAAATTAAAAAATTAAGACAACATTCCAAAGGACATCTACCGATGTTAATCAAATGACTAGTTGTAATTTTGGGAATTTGAGGTAAGGAAATACTAGTGTTTTCTTTATATTTACTTATTTTTAATTGTAATAATGAACCTATATCACTTGCTAAATTTAAAGTTTATTGGAAAAGATAGATCTTTAGCTGGGCTAAATGAGAAATAATTTTTAGAGAGACTAAAGAGAAATCTGAGGATTTTGTCTATTACTTTCAGATGTAGCCAATTTAGTATATTTACCTATTAACCTATTAATCTGTTTAATATTACTACTAATTAGGTATATTTTATAATCTGCAATAAAAAACTGCTGTTTCACTTATGCCCAAGCAATTAAAAAACACTTCTCTAACAATAATAATCATTGATGATTGAGAGGAGACAAACAGAGTTTACAAATTTAAAGTGGTGTACAAGAGGTATACTTGGCTTGATATTTGTTACCACTGTCATCGGACATCTGCACAGTGGGTATTTATGCTTGAAATGCTGACCTGTCAATTTTCCAGAGTTCTGACTCAGTCCTCAAATAAAAAGTTAACTTTTCATTTTTTGTGATCTCATTCTTTTAAAAAAATGTATCACTTGTGTATGTGATGACTCTCGGCTATCTATAATATTGGGTTAACCAGAAAATCCTATTCCCTAATGGACTCAATAAATGTCTCCCCTCTTGCTCCCATCTTCTGGGGTTTTCTTCCCATTTCTGCCTTGGTTCTCATTTCTTTCTTTTTTTTTGGAACTGGGGATGGAATTTGGGACCTTGCGTTTGCGAGGCAGGGGGTGGAGCCACTGAGCTAAATCCCTGGCCCTGTTGTCATTTCTTCCTGTTCTGGTTTCCTTGTTGGCACCTCTCCAATCCTGCATCTCTGTTTACCTTTGTTCCTTTATTTTGGTCTCCTTTTCACACTTTCTTCTCTGTCCCTTCTCTCTCTTTACTCTCATACTCCCTGTGGCCCTCTCCTTTTCCTATTTTCTCTTCGTTACCCCTCTCTGTCTCTCACCTGTTCTCTCTTCTCATCCCCACATGTGACAGGTCTATGACACACTGCTGGAAAATGTGGAGGATTTTGAGGGCCTGTCTGACTTTAGTAACACCTTCAAGCTCTACCGGGGCAAGACTCAGGCGGAGTCAGAAGATCCATCTGTCATTGGGGAATTCAAGGTAAATCCTTCAAGACATGTCCCAGGGTTACCCAATGACTGTGGTATTGCAGCAGTAAGAGAAAGGGGAGGGGTTGTAATTACCCCAGTAACTACAGTGGTGACTATGATGCTGATATGGGTGACCATGTGGGTGATAGAGGTGGTGATGCTGTGGATATAGAATCTGATGGTGGTTATAAGATAGCTATAGCCTGGGTGGTTTCTATGGTGATAACTTTTGTGGAAATGAGAATAATAGCCATAGTTGGCCACTGTGTTTTCAATGATAAAAATGAAAGTTTATCTTCATTCTTTTCAGGGTCTCTTCAAAATTTATCCCCTCCCAGAAGACCCAGCTATCCCCATTCCCCCAAGACAGTTCCACCAGCTGGCTGCACAGGGGCCCCAGGATTGCTTGGTCCGTATCTACATTGTCCGAGCATTTGGCCTGCAGCCCAAGGATCCCAATGGAAAGGTAACATTTCTAGTGCCTCAATTCCTCTGAAATAGCAGGCGTGGGTACAGTTGGCTTGTGGAATCTAGACATGACCTTTGCCGTAGGGGAGTTTGCAGAAATTCAGACAAACATATGCAGAACTGAGATGTATCTGGATGGAGTTTGTCAGGGACCAAGGGCTTGAGGAGCTCAGGGAAGGCCAATATCAGTACAGGACTTTGGACGACTCCCAGGAAGGAATTAGGACTCTTAAGGATAGGTGGAGCTTTGATAGGCCAGGAGAGAGAAGAAAGTAATATTTTAAGAGGGGTCAAGAGGTAGGCCAAGGTTTGAAAGAAGACCGCTTAATTCATATGTAGAACTAGGGTAAGTATAAGGATAAGTAAGGTTTAAGGTGTAGATTGGGACTAGACTGTGTGGGACTTCAGTGATGAGTAGGAAGCAGTGAAGAAGGAGAGAATCAGAATTAATAATGGTTATACCCAACCATGATAGAGGTAAAGGCAAAAGGAAAACCAGGAATACTTATCCTGACTTCATTTAAAATTTTGCTGTTTTGTTCATCATGGACTATTGGCATTGATTTTTAAATTTTAAGATACTGCAATAAAGTATCATGTATCTTGATTGCTGAGTTTTTGTATCCTCCCTTAAATTTTGTGCCCAAGGCAAGAGACTTAACCGTCTTGCTCCAGTCCTGGCTGGAGATAGAAGAGGGAGATTTGCAGGAGGAAGGAGTCTGGAGTCACAGGGAGATAGTAAGGTAGGGACAGAGGAAAGCTGGAAGCAGGGAAGCAGAGAGGCAGAGGTGGGGACCGTTGGAGTTTTGAGGTACAAGATATAGGGGCTTTCTTCTCCTTAGACAAGTTCAGCTCTGTGTCCTTGAGCTGGGGGAGGCTCGGCATCTCACTTAAGTAACCTTGCCTTTCCAGGCTGAGAAATCACATGATCCCAAGGCAGATGGAATAGTCCTCAGGCTTGGCACCATGGATAGGCTCCAGGATGTGGCCTGTGTGCTGGCGTATATCCTTCAAGCCTGCTTAATGCCTGACTAAGCCTGGGGCCTCTGGCTGCAGCTGCTTCTGGAGGATGGCTGATGGTCTGCTGCTGCTTGGAGGCAGCATCCCAGAGACTGGCCTGAGCTGGCCTAGGCAGACAAAATAAGACCATCTCTCCCTTGTTCCATCTGCTTAATAGAGACCAGAGAGGACTCCAGCCTGGCCTAGTCCCATATGGAATTTGGTCTGTTGTGTGTCTGAGGATAAGGGTCCGGTCCCCACCTACCTCTCCCAATGAGGCAATGAATCAGGACTATGGAAGAGTCAAATACCACATTCCCCCTGCCACAGCTGAGGCTAGAAGCTCATGCCAGGGGTCATGTGGCATGGTGTGGTCTGCAGAATGGGGCTTGTGGGTTGGCAGGATGCAGTTTACATTGAGGCTTCCTGATGGCTGGCTATCTTGTCCAGTTGGATTGCAGAGGACTCAGGAAGACCTAAAGACATGTTGGGACAGGGATTTCACTTAAGTATTTCTGTGTCTTCCTCCAGTGTGACCCCTACATCAAGATCTCTATAGGGAAGAAGTCAGTGAGTGACCAGGATAACTACATCCCCTGCACTCTAGAGCCTGTATTTGGAAAGTAAGTGGGGAGCAGCTTGACCTTGGGTGCAGAAGCTGGTCTGTATAACCCACAGTTCAGTGGGTGGACATAGCTGCCACTGGGCTGTCCCTGTCCCTTGGAATAGAATTGTGTCCCCTACATCTTGCCTGTATGTGGGTGCAGCCTCCCTAGTCATTCTTTATGTGCTAAAGGCTTGCTTAGAAGACACTCCTGGTTGAACACAGAAACATTTATCTTTTAGATCAGAAATCTACATGGAAGCTCAAAATATGCATTTGTTAATCTTTTTAGATGAACTTTTTTGGGGGAATAATTTTAGATGTACAGAAAAGTTTCAGAGAGAGAGAGAGAGAAAGGGAGAGAGAGAGAGAGAAGGGGGGAGAGAGAGAGAGAGAGAGAGAGAGATCTCATTTATCCTTAATTCAATTTTCCCCGCTGTTAACAACTATGGCACTTTTACCCAAATGAGAAAAGTGACACTGATGCATTACTATTAACTAAACCCTAGACCTTATTAGAATTTAAGTCTTTTTACTGCCCAGAGCCACATAGTATACCATGTTGCATTCAGCAAGTGCTCTCTTTCGGTGTTCCACATGTTTCTGTGGTGGAGAGCTTAGAGAAGAATGTAGACCCCAGATAGACAGATGATTCTGGAAATCTAAGAGCATGGGAAAGAAGAATCAATGCCGATGGTGTGGGGATAGCTCCTAGATGTCCTGATTACTTTTTGGTTGTGAGCTTATGTTGGCAAAGGGAGGCTGATGGCTATTCCTCTAGCATCTGCATAAGAAGCCTAGAGTTTCCATATCATCAAGTAGCACTTTGCATTCATAAACTGGTATCTGTTTGCTTAGTGGGGTCACTCAGCATGCAGCCAGGACTTAGTCATCTTGGAGAAATGCAGTTTTGAAGGGGAAACAATTCTGACCAACAGTAAGCCACTACTAAGCTGGGATTTGAGGGAAGATGGGGGATGGGAGAGAAGAACTCTGGTGAGCTCCAGTGGCTGACACAGGGCCATGGGTTAGTAGTGGTGATGGGCAGTGGATGGGCCTGTCCCAAAATATGTGTGTTTGTGTGCACGCACACCCAGGACAGGTCATAGGGTGAATGTAAGAACATCCCTGCCACTTTTGTTGCCCGTCTTCACAAAATCATGGCCAAAGCTGGTGTGCCTGCTTCTTGCAGATCACAGCAGAAGTGCTTTCATTGCACAACTCATGAGACAATGAAAACACAACTTCGTTGTTGTCTGCCAGTACCCTGTAGAGTAAGCTTCCCCCTTTCCTGAGTGAACTCTGCTGCAGGCTTTTCTGGCCACTTTAAGGTCAGCCACTTCATAAGTCACAAATGTACAGTCTCAGGGCTGAAACCAGGATGCTCATCCTTGTATAACCTGAACACTCTGATAGCCATAGAGAGGTGTTTCCCCTTTCTCTGGCCATCTGGGTTAGCTTTGTACAGCATGTAGGTGAGTAAGGGACTTTGTCTGCCTCCTTTACCCTATTTAGTGTTCTCCCTACCCCAGCTCTAGCCAGCCACTAACCCTGAAAGGCCAGGACTAGGGAAGTTCATAGTAGGGGAGAACTCCATCCCAGGCGCCAATTGCTTCTGTTGTCCGGACATTCTCTGGGTAACAGATGTTTCAAGTCAATTGATTTTCTTGTGGGTGCTTTCCAGAGGCTCCCAGACTCCCTTCTGAGCCTCTCCACTGCTCCTCCTGAATCTGGCAGATGGTGTCTCCCTTTAGCTGGACAACACCCACCTCCTGGTCTTCAGATGGTCTACTGCACAGTTGGAACCTCGTAAGGTCCCATGGAATAGAGCAAGATTCACAGCAGCTAAATCTGGCTTCCAGGTGGCCCCATCTCTTCTGCAGGAGGAAAACACTCTCATGTTCCTCACCCAACCACAGATAGGAGTGCAGCTCCTCCCAAATGTCCCCTGCCTTCTCCTTTCTGCTGCATTAGCACTCTTGAACACAAGTCTGGTAGCAGGCTTGTGTCTCCCACCTGCAGGAAACTCATTTCAAGAGAAGGGAGCGCACCTCCATCTTGATCCCTCATGATGATGAGGGGCTCAGACTCCACAGAAGCTCTCTCCCAAGAAATCTTTTCATGAGCCCTTCCTCCATGCCACCCTAGAAGTCAGGGTGCAGCCTCAAAGTCCAGAGAACAGGTCCTGGGGCATCCCTTTGGTAGATTCCAGAGATCTGGCACCTGGCTGTGGAGTTTCATATTTCTTGTCTCCTGGCGTCCTGGTGGAAACTTCAGTTTTAACATTCTGTTCCATTTCACTTGTTCATTCTTGGGTCTTCCAGGTAGGCACCTTGCAGAGTGCCCCACTCAGTTTGTTTGGGAAACATGGCACACACACACGCACACACACACACACACGCACACACACACACACGCACACACACACAGACACGCACACAAATTTTGACAAGACCCATACAGTTGTGCCGAGGATGGTGTGCTCTAAGATGACAGGAGACCTGAGGATGGTGGATTCCCAGGGATAGCTTTTGAGCTCCCACTCTCATCCTGTTGCTCCTTGAGTTCCCACAGAGTCTAGTGACAACAGGGAGGTGGTAGGATCCTGACATATCCTTTCCACAGGATGTTTGAGTTGACTTGTACTCTGCCCTTGGAGAAGGACCTGAAGATCACACTCTATGACTATGACCTCCTCTCTAAGGATGAGAAGATAGGGGAGACAGTCATCGACCTTGAGAACAGGCTGTTGTCCAAGTTTGGGGCTCGCTGTGGACTCCCACAGACCTACTGTGTGTAAGTGCTTGGTGCTGGCTACTTCCCTGTCAACCCGCCTCCCCTATCTACTGAGTACTGCTGTGTGCTGGCCCAGGCTGAGCGTATCCCCAGGCATTCGCACCTTGAACCCAATGGGGGTTTAGTCATTCCTTCACAGATGAAGAAACTGAGGACTAGAGATATTATGGCTAGTAACTGGTAGGATTAGGATTTGCACCCGTTTGTCTGGCTCTGAGGATCTGGTCCTTTCTCACATTGTTGTAGTCCACATCTCTCTAATGTACCACTGAGGCCTGCAGAGGGCTGGACACTTGGAAAGAGAGAGAAGGAGGGAGAGAAGGAAAGGAAACGGGCTGTGGGACACATGGACTCCAGCTGGGCCTTAAGGGGAATTATGTGATGGTCTGCCTTGGGAATTCATGTATGTACAGCACCCTCTTTCTACCATATTGAGTCTTATTTGGATCTGATCCTCTTAGTAGAGATTAGAAACATCTGAGTTCCAATTCCATAGGTACTTAAGTCCTTTACAGTTTTTCCATCTGTAGAATGGGGATGAGTGATCAGATGAGGTGGGTGATGCTATGTGGGGGTACCCAGATCTTTGCAGGCCTCGGCCTCTGTCAGTGCCCTTGGAGTGCTTCATCTTTGTCTTGTACTTGGGCCTCAGCTCTGGACCGAACCAGTGGAGGGACCAGCTCCGCCCCTCCCAGCTCCTCCACCTCTTTTGCCAGCAACACAGGATCAAGGCCCCCTTGTACCGGACAGACCATGTGATGTTTCAGGATAAAGAATACAAGATTGAGGAGATAGGTGAGCTGCCACTTGACTCCCAAACCACAGTGGGCTCTCCCTCTTCACCCCTCTCTCATCAGGACCCGTTCTGTCATAAAGGGCTAACCGGATATAACGCACATCATCAGGGAGAGGGTTGCAGCACAGGACTAAACTTGCACTTGGTACTTTTGGGACTGGTACATACCTGTAATTCCATTGTAAAAATTAGAGGTCAGGGGGTCAAAGTGAGGCTAGGGTCATATCTCCATCCAAGACCATGTTGGGGCCCAGTTGAAGGTAAGATTGGGGGTGAGTCTGAAGCCAGATCAGACTTAGGATCAGTTTCCTTCTGGGTGTGGTAGTTAGACTTTGGTCAGAGTTTAGGGTACACCTGCCTCTGAGAAACAATTTTCCACTTGAATTGGACGAACCTGCCAGCTATTGGTGCACCTTCCAAACCCCTAAGCACCTAAACATCCAAAGGGCAGGCAGGGCCGGGGATTTAGCTCAGTGGTCCTGCCGCCTGCCTTGAAAGCACAAAGACCTGAGTTCGATCCCCAGTAGCAAAAAAAAAAAAAAAAAAAAAGGACAAAGGGCAGGCAGAAGGCCTCAGGCACCCCCACCTCGCCCCAGGTTCTGTCTGACATTGGTAACTGAGAATCCTCCCACATGCTCTCCATGTGTCTGAGATGCCCACAGGCCTGCATTGCCCACCCAGAGCAGCTCAGACTCCCTGGAGGTGTTTACTGGCCCAGCTGGCCCCTCACCTTCTGCTTGTTTCAGAGATGTTTGATGTCAGAGCTGGTGCTGAGGTTATAAAAGGAAATGGTGGCTTTGATGCCCCATACCCAAATCCCCCTCCTCCTTCTTGTGTTCTGTTTTCCTGGCTCTCCCAGCTCATAGCTGAGCTAGGCTTGGCCAATGGGCAACCCCCTCCCCACCACACACACACATTCCCTTTTCCTATGTAGCATGCATCTGTTTTAGGGGCCATCTCATTTCCTCCAGTGGCAACTGTTGTTCTGTGAGCAACTTTTAGCACAGGGACCAGGGTTTGTGGCTATAAAGTGGTGAGATCTAACATCTGCCTGATTTTAAAGGTGAAGCGATTGAGGCCCAGAGTGGTTAATGGTTTTCCCAGAGTCATCAGCCATCTAGGAGCGCAGTCAGATTCCTGGCCTCTGCAAAGTTGTGCCTCTTCCTATGGGGTCCTATTAATGTGGGCAGAACAGGTTTGATTGGTGAACAAACGTGTGTGTGTGTACATGAGAATTTGTGTTTTTTGATGTACCTAGGCACATCTGAATGCATACACCTGTGTGTGTGTGTGTTTCTGTGTGTGCACATGCATGTGCCCACCTCCTGCTCTGCCCTAGGGCCTCTGGCACAGAGTCTCCAAGTTCATGGTGCTCCAAGTTCATAGAAGGAATAGGCTTTGGCAGACAAAGAGGATTTGTGTTGGTGGAGAAGAGGAAGTAGAACTTTGCAGAAGAACTTTGCAGGCTACTCAATGTCAGGACTTCCCCATGTCTTCTCCCATCCTCAACACAAGCCCCGGAAGGCAGAAGCCACATCTGGAAAGCATTAGGGGAGGAAGGGAATGATCAGGGCTGGTCATACACCTTTCATAATTGAGCTTGGGATTCCAGTTGCCCGGCTGCCCAGGTGTGGGTCTTCTCCATGCTTCAGGTTTCACGTCTGTGAAATAATGCTAATGATAGCACTTAGCTTCCAGGCCCTTGTAAAGATTCTGTTAAAATCTATGCAGAACAGTGCCTAGCGCATGGTTTACACTCTAGAAGTGCCTGCTATTACTGGTGTTATTTTATCCAGTGCTACTAATAGGATGACTTAATGTGAATCAGAACCTAGTATAGCAGCACTAAGATGGCAGGTCTAGGGTGTTCTGAGGTTTGGAGTTGGAAGCAATCAGAGAAGACTTCCTGGAAGAAATAGACTTTGGCAGACAAAGAGGATTTGTGTTGGTAGAGGAGCAAGTAAACACAATAGCAGGGGAATAATGGATTTTAAGCCATGAGCCTGGTTTCCCTGATGGAAAGTGAGACATAAGGACCAGATGTCAGTTGTCTCTGGGCTGGGGTAGGGTTGTGGGGTTAAAGGAATTCCCGGGGCTGTCAAGTGGTCCTGCCCAACCTGTGCACAGGGAAGCCCTGTCGTCTTTCGGGCATTTGGCAACTTTTTGTCTTCTCTCTGAGCCAGAGGCTGGAAGGATCCCAAACCCACACCTGGGCCCAGTGGAGGAGCGTCTGGCTTTGCATGTCCTTCAGCAGCAGGGGCTGGTCCCCGAGCACGTAGAGTCACGGCCCCTTTACAGCCCTCTGCAGCCGGACATCGAACAGGTACAGCACTGACCCTTAGATTCCTTTCAACCCAGAGAACCCTTCTCCAGGGACAGTATGAGCATCCAGGCAACCCACTGGGGACCTTGGGTGTGGCCAGTTCCTCTCTGATCCATTTCTTTTCAGTATGAATGGTTGCTACTGCTGCAAGGGATCTCAGGGCCTGGTGTCCCCTCCTACTTCATTGTGGGAGAAACAAGGCCAAGTGCCTCTTTTAGCCATGCTTAGCCAGCCTCTGACTTATGTCTGACATTTTGGGGCCTACTATTTCAATCTGGCCTTCGATGTCCCCTTGCCCACTACAGCCATTCAATGGCTCTGTCTCAGGTCCCCAGCTCTGTGCAGTGGGGTCTTCAGACAGGGTGGCCAGCACCATAGGACAAAATGGCATAGAAACCCACAGAGTTCAGTCAACAGGAGGGCTGGGGTGCCCTCCCATGCTACAGGAGGGTGAACACAGATAGCAGGTTTGAGACTGGGCAGGGGAGGCTTCCTGGAGGAAGTAAGCTCAGAGATGGGTTCTGGAGGAGGAGGAGGAGAGAAAGGGATACATTCGAAAAGAAAGACCAAGTGAGCCCTGAAGATGCCTTTGCAAGAAACAATCCCTTTCCCTAGGCAGCTTGGCTGCTACCCCTCCCAAGGTAGCATAGGTGTTAAATGTTGAAAGTGACTTAACCAATTCTTTCAATCCCTGCTCTTTAAGATGATGTTGTAGTCACTTTCTCATGTTGAGACACAGTACCTGACACACACAACTTAAAGGAGGCGAGGTTTATTTGGGCGTATAGATTTTAGAGGGTTCAGTTCCTAGCTGGTTGGCTCCAAGGCAGAAATGGCATGGTGGAAGGGTCTGGTGGAGGAAAGCTGCTCACATCATGGCAATCAGCAAGCAGAGCACAAAGGGAAGAGCCAGGGAGGGAAATACACCCTTCCATATTACTGCCACAGCAACCCGACTCTTCTGATTAGGGCCTACCTCCCACCAGCACACTCAGCTGCTGAACTTACCAATGGATTGAATCTAAACATGATTGCAGTACCCACATGATCCAATCACCTTCCCAAAGCCCCACCTCTGGACAGATGAGGCTCTGGGGAGACAATCTAGATGTAAACCATAACAGATGAGGACAAAAATCACAGCTGCCTTTCAGAGAGGGAGGCACCAAGGGTTGAGCAGTCCTGGAGACCTTCTAGGATATGAGTACACCATTCCCCTGGCACCTTGAGACTCGGCTTACACATCACCATCTCTCAGAAGCCCACCCAAGTCAGTGGCCTGAGAGGACAGAGGATCACCTCTGCAGTTGGCTCTGCAGTCCTTTGCTTAGCAACCCTGCCCTATAGGGTGGTGAGCTTCTTCCTGGCAGGCCTGGGCTTTCTCTGTCCTGCTGCCCAAGTGCCTGGCACAGAGCAGGTGTTTAGTAACTGTTGCTAGATGAAAGGGTGGTAGAATGGACTCATGCACGTCTCATCCTCAGGGAAAGCTGCAGATGTGGATCGACATATTTCCAAAGGCTTTGGGGCGGCCTGGACCTCCATTCAACATCACTCCCAGAAAAGCCAGAAGGTGACTGACAGCCACAGGCTCTGAGCTGAGTTGGAGGCAGGAGGGTTGAAGCCAGGAGTGGGTGGGGCCAGGAGGTGACCTCTGTCTGGCCAGGCTTTGGGACATTTGGGCTTCAGAGCACGGATTCTATTTGGACCTGGCTGAGTCTCCAGCCAGGTGGGCATCAGGTCTGGGATGAGCTGACTGCTCAGCGGAGGGCATCCCATCCCCTGCTGGGAAATCTATGTGGATTTGATTCTCCTTCCTCCCTGCAGATTTTTCCTGCGATGTATTATCTGGAACACCAGAGATGTGATACTAGATGACCTCAGCCTCACAGGGGAGAAGATGAGTGACATTTACGTGAAAGGGTAGGAGCCATCACCTGGGGCAGCTCACAGCAATGTCCCTACTCCCTTGGGAGGGACCCAGCAGGCAGGGCTCTGTGGTGGGGAAGGGGAAAGCAGCAAGCTTCGAAGGAGGGTCTCACAGGGGTGGTATCCACCTTTGGAGTGGTCCACCGCCAGATTTCTTCTTCAGCACTCACTTTTGGGCTAAAATTGCAAGACGTGAGGACACCTATAGAGTGGCTGAGATGTTAAACATTTTTTAACTTATGGTGCATTTTGTGCGTCATGAAATTTCCCTAGGAATTCTATTTTCATTATTGTTTAACCGAGTTCTTTACCATTGTGCTTCATCATGGGAGTTATACAAATGAAGTGGAAATCTAATGAGACAGGACATTTATACATCTATATATGTGTGTCTAGTTGGATGGTCGGCTTTGAAGAACACAAGCAGAAGACAGATGTGCATTACCGTTCCCTGGGTGGTGAGGGCAACTTCAACTGGAGGTTTGTTTTCCCCTTCGACTACCTGCCAGCCGAGCAGGTGTGCTCTGTTGCCAAGAAGGTGGGTGTCCCTCCTAGCCCAGTGCTCCTGGCCTCAGGGTTTACATTGCCTGCAAGATTTCATCACCCGTCCCCTCACTGCCATTGTTACCACCAACATTGCCCCATCAGTGTGGACACTCCCGGCCCTTCTCTCAGTACCTCTAAAACTGTCATTGCCTCCGCTGCAGTCCACTTCTCCCTCCTCTTTTACCATCATTGCTGTCACTAGCACTGCCACTATCCGTGGGCACTCCACAACCATACATGCTACATCCATCCTGTAGAGCTAAGTCTAAATCCTGCAACCACTGTCTTCCTTCCTATCCCAGACAAACTCAGCAGCAGGAAGGCTCCTGGGGTCCAAGTGGGAGGACTCAGGAAACTCAGCATGGCCAGTAAAGGGGTAGAGGGCTGGACCCTATTGGAGGAGCTTCTGAAGCAATGGCCTGGAATGTAACTGAGTTGTCCGTAGGACTGAGGGTGCTGTGGTTAAGTTCCTCTGGCTACCTTGTCTCCTACAACTGTCTGTTGCCTGTTGTCCTCTCCAGGCTGGACAATCATTAGGAAAACTGCCTTCTGTACCTGCCAGCCTCTTTTTACCCCCCACCTCTTTCTAAAGGTACTTGGGGGACAGGTCAGCATCAGCCAGTGGGGAGAAGTAGATCTGATGACCTCAGACTCTGCATTTCAGCATCTCCTAGTTTAGGTCTTATCTGGGCCTCTTTTACCCCTGAAACAGGCAGAGCTCTCAGGCAGCTCCCTTCTCCTGGCTGCACCAGGGAACAGCACCATAGCACAGGGAAGGGGGTGCTATTGGCACAGAGGGCCTCCAGGCCAGGCTGGCAGGAGGCAGAGGGCCCATTGGGTCTTTTAACTATCTTCATCCCACCTAGTATTGATTGCTACTTGGAGGTCCTTTGATGTTCAAGGGGGCAAATGCCTCTGTTTAGGTCCTGCTGGTCTGATTTCCATCCAGAGGTGACTCAAGGCTTCAAGCCTTGAAGCTTCTGTGGCATGGCTTCAAGTAGGGAAATAAATAATGTACTTGGGCCACCTTGCTGTTTTTAATTCCCTTCATTGCATCCTCTCTGCCGGATCCTTCCCAACCCAACACATAGGATCATCCGAACATTCTGAAATCATCAAGCAAAGGAAATTATGTATTAAGCAAGGTTAAGTGGATTCTTTCACCCAGGGATCGCTGTGTGGTGCCTGCCAGAAGGGAAAATTTAGCAATAGGGTTCTGTGAAGTCAAAGAAAGTGTAGACCATTTGTAGGCTTAATCTTGTTTGCCTTTGCTCAGTGTGTTTGTCTGTCAAAAGCCTGTTTCCATAACAAAGCAGATCTGCTTCTGCTAGAGAGCAGCACATCTAGCAAGCCCTGCTGGCCTCCCTTGGCTGTGAACGAGGGAGGTCAGGTCCGGAGTAGACAGGGGAGGGCTGAGGCATCCTGCATACCCCCTGCCTGCTCACAGAGGTCTATGAGGGGCTGGGCATGGAATGGGGAAACTGAGGCTGCTCAAATGGAAGACAGGACAACTCCTTACTTTGACAGGTGGGGATGTGGAAAGGAGTGGCAGGAGAGGAGGTTCTTGCTTTTTCTTTGAAATAAGAGCTGAGGAAAAATCTGGCCCAGTGGCAGATGATTTGAGATAAATGGAAAAGGCTAGAAATAGCTGTCATGCTGATGAGAGAGAAATGGAGGAAGAAGAGAGGGGGCAGTGTGAGAGAGTGCTGATTGGTTCCACAGTGAAGAGTTACTGGCAGTTGTGAGGGCTCAGTTGGAGTTGCTGATTAAGGACTTAGGATGGCTCCATTCCAGTGGTGGTGGAATTCTGGCTCTGGTAAGAAAGGAAGGCCATGTTGAGTTGGTCCACAAGGCTGGATTGAGAAGATGAGAGGGGCTGACACACAGGCAGCCTGTTGGCCTGATGGCCCAATAGCTTGGACTTGAAGGAAGGAGAAGCCCATGGGAATGGGGGTGGAGAAGAGCGAGAGGAGTTCAAGAGTGAAAGAGAGACAGAATTGGGGAAGAACAAAAGACAGGTCCCTCCTGACCCCAGGTTCTGGGGAGAGGGTGGCTGGAGGCAGCGACTGGGAAGCTCGGAGAAGGAAAGGATTGGACAGAAACAACCCAGATGGATCTGAAGGCTGCCAGGAGGCAGGAGGGCCTGCAGCCGCCTCTTGTGGAGAAGGGACCCTGGGAAGCAGGTGGAGCTGGACCTAAAGCAGGGCACTAATTAGCTGGTCTGAGCTAAGGACAAGTCTGAGTCTGAGGCAGGTTAGTGCAGGAGTTGCTTAGCCTCTGGGTTCCCTGGGCTGCTCAGAGCCAGCCCTCTGCTGTGGGGTTCAGGGCCTCTGGCAGGCAGGCCCTCCGGGACTCCATTAACCAGACGAGACTGTCGTAAAATACAAGGTCTCCTTTCATCCGGCTGCTTTGAACCTCTGCTTGTTGCCCTGGCCGGCTCCCCACCTGGAGCCCAGCACACCCACTGGGGCCTGCCTGTGTGTCAGGCACCCACCCTGCAAATAAACAGCTAGTAAAAGGGCCCAGGCCAGAGCATAATGAGTGCCTGGGTCCTGGGGGGCTCCTTCCCCAGGCTGGAGCCCCCACCCAGCTGCTCCCACCAGGGGCTGTTTGAACCTCTGGCTCATTACCCAGCCCATAAACCAGGCCTGCCGCAGGAGCAGGAGTGAGGCTGCTGGCGGCCCTGCAGGCGGGCCTGCCGAGCTGGCCATAAAATCTTGTCAGAAGAGGAGGCACCTGCAGAAGGCTGGACAGCCAGGCTGGGGCCCAGGAATGGGGAGGCCCCAGACAGAGGCTGGGCCGGGGCCAAGCTGGGGACCTGTGTGTCTCCACCAACCCAGGAGCAGTCTGGGCTGTGGGTAGGGCAGTGTGCATGTTGACCGTGCCTCACTGGCAGTGGCCATGGCCTTTGGTTAGGGAGCTCAGTGGGAGCTGTGAGACTGTACACTGAGGCTGGGGTGGCCATGCAGCTTTGTTGTCCTCAGGGTTCCCTGGCTCCCCATGGAGGCTATGCCCCCAGACTTGGGTGGAGGGCCCTGCTCTGACCTGCTCCCAAGACCTTTTCCTCTCTTTGCTATTTGCTTGGGACAGTCACAGTGAGAGAAGGGAGGACAGGCCATGGTGAGTGGGAAAATCTAGTTATAACCTTTGGTTTGAGTTTGGGTTGAGTGTGACCCAGGGGCCAACCCTGGCCCATACCCATCAGCTGCTGCGTGAGGCCTCCGACCGACTCTCCCAGGATGCCCTGGTTCCCAATGGAGCTGGGGTGGGAGAAGGGCCTGGACCGTCCTTCCAGCATAAGTGCTGGACCTTCCCGATAGGGCAAGCTCCTGGAGGTGAAAGGGGGTGGTAAGGAAGGATCCAGGGTCCTGGTCCCAGTGCCAGCTCTTTATGTCTGTGTCATGGTTCTTTCCAGTAACAGCCAGAGGAGGTGGGGAACCCCAGATTCTCAGCCAGCCCACCATGACCTCACGATCACATACACAGAGCAGGGGTGGGCAGCCTCTGGGCTCCTTGGGGTTGCTGCAGAGCCAGCCCTCTGCCATGGGTTGAGAGCAGGACCCTGGAATCCAACTGCCTGAGTTTGAATTTCAGCTGGAGGGACCTCTGCTTCTCTGATCTTGCTTCCCTTTCCCTTCTCTGCCCGTCTGGGTCAGGATGCCTTCTGGAGGCTGGACAAGACCGAGAGCAAAATCCCAGCACGAGTGGTATTCCAGATCTGGGACAATGACAAGTTCTCCTTTGATGACTTTCTAGGTGAGCCTTGTTTCTGGTAGGCTCTGAGCTGCACTTTGAGAGCTGCCTCAGAACCCCTGCTGTGCATGTGGGCCTTTGGGATTCCCAGCAGGAGGTGTGGTTCTCCTTTCTGCCTTCAGGGAGCTTAGGGTCACTGAGTCCTCAGGGCTGAGTGAAGTATATGCTCACAGGCTGAAGTCAGCTCAGGTGTGTGCTGGCTGTTGACTGCCTAGCCTCATGCTTCACGGGATGCTCCCACCTCACCCAAGTTTAGTCAGACTGAGCCAGAAATCAAGGGGCTCAGTCACTGTTCATAATTGACCAATCCGGTGAACAGACACCAGCTCAGTCCTCACAGCTCCCAGACAGGGTTTTGGTGAGTTCTGGATTTGGGAAACAGGGAGCTAGGGTGAAAATGGGCAGTGAGGTATCCCTAGAGGGCTGTCATGTGGGCATTAGGAAGAGAACACTTTTAAGTGACTAGCAGGTTGGACCAGCTAGTATTAGCTGGCTCATTAGCCTTAAATGGTTATAACAAGATAAGTGGAGGTTTTTAATAAAAATGAGAGTGTATTCTATTGCACAGAGCTAAATCTAATAAACTTTCTTGCAGTTGTTTGATTATATCAGCCAAAAAATGAATATAAAGATTAACCCTGAAAACATGGCCTATTCATGCAGTGGGACATTATTCAGCCATAACAACAAATATGGACACACATGAGAACGTGGGTGAACCTTGAGAACATGCTAAGTGCAAGAAGCCAGATGCAAAAGGACAAATACTGCATGACTCTATGTATAAGAGATGCCACACAGGCAGAAACATAGAGAGGAAGAATAGATTAGTGGGCACTGGGAGGGAGGAGGAGAGGGAGCAACTGCTTATGGGTACAGAGGTTTCTTTTGGGGGCAATGAAGTGTTCTGGAACTAGATGCTGGTAATGTTTGCAAAACTCTGTGAATATACTAGAAAGCACTGATTTACACCCTTGAAAGTGTTTAAAGTGGTGAATTTTATGTTATGTGAATTTTACCTCAATTGAAAAAATGTGAAGCTGTGAAAAAGGCAGCCTGGAAAGTCAGGAGCCCCAGCTTCTAGTTCTACTCTACCGCCTGGGAACAAGGCGGCCTTGAGGAGACCACTGATACCCTCCTGGGTGCCCTTGGTTGCAGAAATGGAAGCTGGTCTTTGCTGAGGCCTTATTCTTGCAGGGAGCATCTGAGGAGCATCTCTGGGCAGGGGAGGGCTGCCTGCCCCTTGGGCTGCTCTTCGTTTCTGATCCCTACCACTTGTGGTCCAGCCATCAGCACATAGAGGACTACGAGCTGCAACAGGACTTTGTTGTACAATAGTCAGATGTAAAACTGATGGCACCACATTTGAATTTTGTATTTTACATTTTCTGTATATAATTCCCATAAACTAGCAATGCTGGATCCCCACTTCTTTTTTTTTTTTTGGGTACCGGGGATCGAACTTGGGTCCTTGTGCTTATGCAGCAGGTGGCGAAACCACTGAGCTAAATCCCTGGCCCCATCCCCACTCCTTAATCTCACCACCCAGAGATAACCTCCATTCATATTTGGCATATACTATTATATTGTGCATTATTGCAGATATAAACAAACATATATATTATATGCATCTATGTGTACCTATATGTATGACTTACATATATAGTCATATATGCAGTATAGGAATGGGTTTATACTATGTATTCTGTTTTATATCCTGAGCTTTGGAAAATGTAATACTTTAAGAACATCCTTTCTGGTCACTAGTTATTTATCTATGTTGACATCTGATGTTCCAACCTACAGATAGACCCTATTTTGCTTAGGTAATCTTTTGATGGATATTAGGCCAGCTTCAGATTTTCCAGTGTGAGTGACAACCCAGGGTGGACATCTTTGGACCCTTTGCTTTTATTAACTCTAGGAGGTAGGTTTGTGAGTTTTTGAACATTTAGTGTATTTTTTGGTAACATGTTGTTCATTTGCCCTCCAGAAAGGGTTTTACTTTTTAATGTTTTTTCCTATGCTCTGTTTGTACAAGGGTGCCATTTCCCCTAAACTTCTGCTACCATTGCTGCATTTTAAAAATTGCCAACACTATCTCTCTTTTTTTATTTCTTATTTGCATTTATTACTTGTGAGATATAAACACACACACTTAATCCCAGCATCACACTCTTAATCCCATTACATACCCTAGATCCAGCCACCTCAGAAAACCCCCACCTATGACTACATGAGGCTTTGTGGGGACCTCTAGACACAAGCCATAACAGTACAGGTGATAAAATATTATTCAGTCATTAAAAAGAATTTTACTGATTTTCACTACAGTGTTGATGAACCTTGGAAACATTATGCTAAGTCAAGTAAGCCAGATACATATGAACAAATATTCCACTAATGTGAAATATCCAGAAGGGGAAAATTCATAAGGACAGAAAGTAGTCTAGCGGGTATTAAGGGTCAAAAGGGAGGGGAGTGGGGAGTTATTGTTTAATAGGTACAGAGTTTCTGGTTGAGGATGAAACTTTTTGGAAATAATAATGGTTGCACAACACCATGACTGTAATCATTGCCACTGAATTGTATGATTAAGAATGGTCAAGGTGACAAATTTTATATTATATATATTTTTTCCACAATAAAGTTTTTTTTAAATTGATGAATAGATGTACAAGGACAAGAGTTTGTGGGATTTGACATGTGGCTAGGCCAGCAATAGAAGCTAAGGAGGTGACAGTGACCTTTTCTTAGTTTTTTTAAAAAAAGCTAGGAAGCCTTAGGCTGGCAGTGATTGAAAAGCCTCTCAGCCAAAGAACCTCTCTGTCACAGGCTTCCTGCAGTTGGATCTCAACCGCATGCCTAAGCCAGCTAAGACGGCCGAGAAGTGTTCCTTGGACCAGCTGGATGACACTTTCCACCCAGAATGGTTTGTGTCCCTTTTTGAGCAGAAGACGGTGAAGGGCTGGTGGCCCTGTGTAGCAGAAGAGGGTGAGAAGAGGATCCTGGCGGTGAGTCTGCTTCCACCAGCCCCCGTGGACGGCACAAGTGGCTCCTTCCTTGGAGACTAGTGGGCACACATATGGTTGGCCTTCCTGCCTTTTCTTCTGCTCTCTATTTTCTGAAGCCTTCCCTCTCTTCCCTTTTGACCGATTCCCAGCCTTCCTCTCCCTGCTTGAGGCTCACATCGCAGAGGAAGCCTGTTTAAATTGAAAGATGAAGTGCTTATATTCCACTTGTTGGCCTTAACAGGGATCTGGGCCCTGGGTTCCCTGGGATCTGGACTTCCTCATAGATGGATGGGGGTCATGTGCTTCCCATTTGAGCAAGACCCTCCCGAGGAACATTCTTGCTCTGCTGTCCTTGTGGAGAAGCCAGCTGTGGTGGTGGTGGGAGTAGTGGCTGAAGAACCATCCTTCCCACTGTCCTCCGCCCATCAAGTCCAGACTAGAAGCGAGGAGGAAGTTAGTCTCTGACAGTTTACTTAGAAGCAGCAGGCAGCCAGCCAACTCTAAAGTGGCCCTTGAAATAAAATATCTTTGTTATATAAAGAATTGCAATGATTAATGAGAAATATTAACACCTCAAAGGAAAAATGAGCAAAAGGCATATATAGATAGTTCACAGGAGAAGCAAAACGTTCATTAAATGTGAAAAAAGAGGTTTATTCCTTTTAGTAATTAAAGGAATATTTTTAAATGTGGGTTTTTTGTCTATTAAATGAGTTTTTTTTAAAATGGAATGCTCATTGCTGCTGAGGATGCAGAGACAGAGCTCTTCATTTATTTCTGCTGGGAGTGTTAGTGGTTTTGCTGTGTGGGGAGGCAATTTGGTAACATGCAGCAAGAGATTAACAATATTTATGCCCTTGGACTCTGTCATCCCACTTCTAAGCTGCCTTTTAAAGAAATAACCAGATAAAATTAAAAATTTAGGTTTTGGGATGTTTGCTGCAGAATTATTTATAATATCAAAGAGTTGGAAACAACCTAAATGAACCAAAATAAGTAGTTTACTAAATAAATTATGGTCAACTAGCCATGGAATGCTTTACAGTCATTAAAAACCAAACTTTAAAGAATATATAATTATGTAGTGAAGCATACTCCTAAGTAAAAACATCAAGCTATAGAACTATATATACAGTGTGATATTTCATACACTTACAGCTGTGATTCATAAAAAACTAACAGGGCCTGTCTTCCCACACTGGAAGTATGGGTGACAGTCTCTTTTCTCCATACATTTCTGTGCTTTCTAATCTACAAGGAGTAGGTACTGCTTTTATGATTATAACAACTCTACATATTTAAAAAACAAAAATAAAGTGGTCCTTTATTTGTCCTGACTCGGCTCCTCTCCAGGGGGTGGGCAGACCCCTGACCTGGGCCTGTCTGTCTCCACAGGGCAAGCTGGAAATGACCTTGGAAATAGTAGACGAGAGTGAGCATGAGGAACGGCCTGCTGGCCAGGGTCGGGATGAGCCCAACATGAACCCTAAGCTTGAAGATCCAAGGTTAGTGCCCAGACTCTTAACTGCTGATGCCCAGGGGATAGAGGAGGGTGTAGGCCATAGTCCAGGGGGCACCCGACTGTATAGACATACAGAGGTCACAGGCCTACGTGGCTTAGAGGGGCAGGTGACAGCCATCATTTCAGGAGCAGCTGGGCTCCTCAGCTAATTCAAGAGGCAAGCACTACCAGGTACTTGTTGGTAGTGTGCCAAGCTTGCTGTCATATGGTCTGTGTATATCACGCTAGGTAATCTTCTCTGTTGGGTAGTTATTATCACCATTTTTACAGATGAGAAAACCATCTTAGTGAAGTTAAATAAAACCATTCCAACTAAGAAAGTGAAGAAGCTGAACATCTATAACCTGCTCTGATTGGCTCTGGAGTCTGATCAAGTTTTTTCCCCTCACTAAGCTGCCTTCACTGGGCCTTCTGTGTTGTGAATGTGGCTCTCACATAGCCTTTCTGCCTTAATTTTCCTGTCTGTGGAATGGAGAGACTGATCCCTGTCTCCCTTACACCACGGTCTTCTTAGGGAGACAGTGAAGCCACAGCCACATAGACACCTTGAAGGTTGCTCCTAGGTAGTCACTGAAAGACGCTCAGGGCTCAGGGCTCAGGGCTCAGGGCTGTGTTTTGTGGTTCCCCCAACACCCTATGGCATGCACAGCAGAGATCTCTCACTTTATCATAGCGCTGTCCTGAGTGCCATGGAGCTGAAAGAGAGAATGGATGGTTTTGAGGATCTTAGTTGGGAATAAAAAAATCAGCAACCATGTGTATCTAGGCAGTTGGCTTGGTTTTTCTTAGGCCCAGTGAGCTATGGTGGGCCATAGCTCACCTAACTTGCAGCCCTCAGGCTCTGGCCAGCCCCTAGGTCTGTGATCTGTGATGAAGTGCTAGGTAAGCGGGGGAGGGGAAAGGCATCCTGGTGAGGATGGTTGGGAATGGGGCTCAGCAGCATTCATACAGGACAGCACAGGTGGGGGTGTCACTGCATCATGGGTTAGGGGTGTGGGGAGGGGATGCAGACTTGAAGGGCTAAGTTCAGAGGTAGAGGCTGAGGGCCAAGAGGCTGAGTAGGTTCTGAGGGCACACTATGGAGGGCCAAAGCCTTTTGGCACGTTGTCACAAGTGGAGTGCAGGATTTGGAGAAAGTAGCCCTGCAGAGAGAGCCTTGCTGACCCCTGGGATGTTACTTCCAGGCGCCCCGACACCTCTTTCCTGTGGTTTACCTCCCCGTATAAGACGATGAAGTTCATCCTGTGGCGGCGCTTCCGGTGTGCCATCATCCTCTTCATCATCCTTTTCATCCTCCTGCTGTTCTTGGGCATCTTCGTTTATGCCTTTCCGGTGAGCAGACTTGATGGGGGAAGGCACAGATACTGACCTAGGGAAGCTCCTGGTTTAGTGGGGGAGCCCATCTTTGTCCTCAAAGAGCTCCCCTGATCGGGTGGAGAGCAGTAACCTCTGCCATGGGGAGTCTTGGACTGATAAGGAAACATGGCTCTTACTCAGAGTCCCCAGTATGGTAAGGAAACAAAGCCTAACCCTTTGGGGGCCCTTAGTCTGATGGGGGAAATTGAGTTCTCACCCTTTGTAGGGAGATACAGCTGTCTTCAGCAAGCCCCTAGAATGTGTGGTCAAAGGGGTGGCAGAGGATGGCAGAGGATGAGTCTCTTGGGCCAGGGTGGGCAGGGAACCTTCTTGTAGGAGGAGTTTGTGGAACTGGGTCTGGAAGGGAAGGGAAGAGGTAGATGCCAGAGCAGAGGAGATGGCACTTGCTAAGTCTAGACAGGGAAGAACTGGGGCCAGGAGAGGATCCCAGAGTCCCCCGAGGACCTGGGTAGGTGTCCTACTTCCCACAGTGGTGTGGGCTTGGAGAAGGGGCTGGCCCAGGAGCCCTCCTTTGGCACAGTACGCACCAGGAATCCCTTTTACTTGCTAAGAAGCCAGCTGATGCCTGAAACTGCAAAAAGCTCACCAGGGCCACACCTGTGATAGCTGGTGTGTCTCCAGCTCCATGGAGCTCTACTGGGAATGGAAGTTGTAGGGTCTGCCCTGGTTTTTGCAGTTTACCAGGAAGCCCTGTAAATGCTCCAGGCCCATAGTGACTCTTAATACTTCAGACCTTGAAGATACCACCATGTTCATACCTTATTTTTCATTTTCTTCAAACTTCAAAGGAACTCTTTAATATGAACACTTTAAACCTATATAAAAGTAGAGTAAATGGTGTAATCTATCCCTTGATACCCTGATTTTCATGGCAAAAGAACAAACATCCAGAGAAGGGAGGGGACTGGCTCTGGGCTGCACAGTGGCCCAGGGCTCACTGTGGTTGTCACTGTGGGTCCCAGTGACACACACACACTGGGTCCCCACAGTAGGCAAGTGATGAAGAATTACTCTCAGGTGAGCTCTTTGCCTTGTGAACCCTCCAGGAATGGATAGGGTGGAGATCTTTCTCCCACTGAGAGCTGGCTATGCCTTGGCAGCAGAGTGCACCTCATAGGAGCAGGAAGAGTTAAAACCACAGACCACCCCATACAGTTCCTAATGCCACAAGCTGTAAGGAGCAGCGAGGAGCACTGCTTAGTTTAGATGTCCAGGCTCCACCTATCCTGTAGGCCAGTGATGGTGAACCTTTGAGAGCTTTCAATGATACAAGCAGCCTGCTGCAGCTTACTTGCTCTAGGCTATAGCACCACTCCTCTAGGCTATAGCAACAAAGACTGATCTATAACCAGAATGGCCAGTGGATCTGGGTATAGGATAGGCCCCCTAAGCAGGCCATGGTCACCTGGGGCATCTTGTTGCAATGTTTGCAGGGCTTAGCAGAAGAGTTAGGGTCAATTGGCAACACTTGACTGTGGTCCAGGGCTGGATCCAGGTTGTGGAGACCTGAAATTTGTACAATTCCAGGGACTTTTTAGGGCAGGGGATTTAGCTCAGTGGTTCCGCCGCCTGCCTCACAAGCACAAGGACCTGAGTTCGATCTCCAGAGACTTTTTAAAGCAAAGGAAGATGAGATTATAAACACAAGATCAGAAATAGATCCATGGAAGGATCCGTGCAAGTGCCATAGCCTAGGGCAAGAGGTGCCACTAGAAGTGACCTGGAATCTGGGGGAGGCCCTGGCATTTGCTTAGAGGGCACCCCAGGCTGCTGAGCAGGGCAGTGTGTGTGGCTCTCCTCTTTCGCCTGTCCTAGCCCACTTCCTTTCATCTGGGTATACATGGCTGCCCTTCCAATAGCAGTAGAGATTTTACTATGAAGGGTTACATGTCCAAGTGAGAGTGTGTCAGGCAAATGAGGAGGCAGGAGATGATGAGGCTTATGCCACCAGGAGCTCGAGGACTCCTAGGAGATACTGAGACCAGAAAATCAGGACAGCCACTGTGTGCAATGAAACATTCCATTAGGGGACTTAGCCTGGGGGGTTAGGAAAGGATGACAGGGGCAGAGCCTCACACCTATAAGCAATCTGGGGACAGAAGCTTCAGCTTTCTAGAATGTAGAGTCCTGGGCCAGTCCCTGGATGGCTGAAACAGAATCTGCCCTCAATATATAAGGTTGGAGAAATGGTATCATATAAGACAGACCTGTCGTTGAACTCTGGAATACTGTCTTTACCTGTGACTTTTTGTGTGTCCTTGGCAAGGCCCTCCTTACCAGCATGTAGAGGAGCTGAACAAAGTCAACTCAGGTCTTCTGTGACCATGGTAGCTCCTTGACCTTCCCTGGGGAGCTGCGTGTCAAGCCGAGCCTCCTCCTGAATCACCCAGGGGAAGGAAAGGGCAAGTCCCAAGTGGCATCACCACTGACTACTCTTTCTTAGTCTGTCCCCCAGCCCTTAGCCAGCTGAGCTTGTCCTGTGAGGCTCTTGGGTGGCAGACCTGTGCCTCAGGCCTCAGAAGCCTGGGGAAGGAGGCTTTGTTGCTTGACTGGGAAAAGAAGGGAAGATTTCCAGTCCCTTCCAGCCTGTGATCCTTCTTCTTCTCCCGGGGGCAGCCTTAGCTTCAGCAGACAGGAGCTGAGTAGCACTCTAGGGAGATCCCTGGTCAGAGCCCTCCACTGAATTCTGGGTTCCCACCAGCAAACATTACTCTGCTTTGAGTTCTGGAAACTGTCCTCTCTAAATGCCAACCCTGTCTTTCTCAGAGCGGACATGTAAGGGAAGATTCTAGTGAGGCTGCTAGGGCTCCAGGAGCCAGAGAAGGACTAAGGCTCTAAGCCTTTAGTTTGCTGCTATTGGTACAGCTGGGGAGTCCTGGTTCCTCCCACCCAGTCCCTCAGTCACATGGCCAGACCCATACCTATGAGGGCCAGACTGATGCGCCTCACCTGGCTTTCAGGGTAGGGTGGGGAACTATTCTGGTTATCCCAAGCCAGGCCTAGTGGGGAGGGGCCCTGAGGTAGGCTTGCCTGTCTATAACTGGCCCAATCCCCCATCCTCTTGGAAATTCCCCTGGGAGGGGTTGAGATGGCCAGCTTGTCTGATTCCTCTGGGCTCCCCCTCTCAGTGCCAGCTGGGAGCAGGGCCAGCGTGGGGAGGCAGGAGGCGATTTGGCGGAGAAGGAGGACCGGCTTTGTTTCCAGGATTGGCTTTCCCGAGCCGGCGCTGGGGAACATACTGTCCCAATTAGGAGCCCTATGTTGTGTTGTGTATGTTTTCATGGTTTTTGGAGAGAGGAGTGGGGAGGGAAGGTTCCTGTCAGTTCTGCAGCAGGCAGGACTTAGTCAAGACTGATCTACCTTTGGTGCTGACCTGTGTTACGGGGATCCCCCTACATTCCGCATCTGAACTCTCCTGAATGGGAGCGTGGTGACCAATGGTGACCATATAGGGGTATGTGTATGGGGGAATCATGGCTCTGCTTTTAGCACCTGGAAGAGCCCAGGGCAGGACTCCCTTGTCCAGATCCTGGGAGATCAGTGTCTTCTTGGCAGCTGGTTGGAACTTGGGAGTGGGCATTGGGTTGTGGAAGAGGGCAGGGAAATTTTAGCAACAGTGATTCCATACAGGAGGATGTGAGTGGTTTCAGGAAGGTGTGGGTTTGCTTGACTGGTGGGAGCACCAGGCAGGGTGGAGTGTGGACCCTAACTTGAGATGGTAGGTGCTGAGAACAAGTGTGGGCCCCTACATTCAACTTAGCCCCTAAAACTGGGCCAAACACTCTGGCTGTTCCTGCCTCAAAAGGGTCACCTTGTATCCCTGGCTCCTCCCTTTTCCAGAATTATGCTGCCATGAAGCTGGTGAAGCCCTTCAGCTGAGGACCCTCCTGCACTGGACAAGGTGGCAAGGGCTGCCTTCCTGGCCCAGGACTGGCTTGCCCCCTCCACCCAGCCTAGCAGAGCTCCTGACTGTCCTGCCAGGTGGGCAGACAGATGTACTGGTACCTGCTGTAAGATTTGCCAGTGCCGTGGCCTGGGATCACCCCACCTCCACCATCTCTTTCTCCCCTACCTCCTTTTGAATCAGCTCATATGTATTTCAGTATAAAACAAGTTGAACCACAAAGCAGTGTCAGTGTGTGTCTTCACTGTCTCCGAGTCAGGGGATGTGTCGGGGGGATCAGGGTGCTGGTTAGGCACGCACCGTTTCTGGCACAGCCTTTTGGAGGCAGAAGCAGTGGGTTGAGGGCCCACTGGAATCGGTTTGTTTTGTTGTTTTGGTACCGGGGATCGAACTCAGGTCTTTCCGCTTGCAAGGCAGGAGGTGGAACCTGAGCTAAATCCCCAGCCCTTGTTTTGTTTTTTTACAAGACTGGGTGAGGTGGGGTAGGCTTCAAGAATTGGTGTCTGACCTGCCTGATACCCAACATTTTTTGCCTCCTCTCCTTCCCAGGATTTCCCTCTTTCCAAGGCTGCCCTTTGTTCAGGTGGCCAGTTATCTGAAACTTCTAATTTCCTTGCTCATACTGGGGAAGAGGGTCCACTTTGTAAAAATAGAGCACTAGAAAGTCCAGGCAGGGAGAGCAGCTGGACCTCTAGCTTTGACCTTGTCCCTGATGCTCTTAGGATTCCCATCCTCTGCTTCCTTGCTTTGCCTTAAGACACCTTTTTCTTGTGGTCTAAAGCTTGGTCTTAGCCATTGGTTTGCCTTTTCTGCAGATTTAATCTATAAGAGCAGCAGGAACAGACTTAGAGAAAACACAAAAAGCTGGAAAGCATCACTTTCAAAATTTCCAAAAGGGAAGGAGGCCTCTGCCCCTCTTGCCTGAGGGGGTTTGGAACCCTGGCTACCTCTGTTTCTGTTCTGGGAGGCTTCTATTTCCTGTTGCAGCCTGGGCCCCAACATCCCCAGGGATCCTTCCAGCCCCTCCTTGGCTCTTCACTGCACTGCTCAACCCAGGCTGAGGCCCCACCTGAGTTGGTAGGACTGGTTGGGACAGAGTTGCTGTCCAGAATCTGCCTGGGGGAAGGATCTCCATTTCCTAAAGGGGCATTTATTACTGCAGGAGAGCTTCGGGATGGAAGTGGCTATAAGCCTCAAGAACCTGGGTGGCCAATTTCAAGTCCCTGACACATGAACCCTGCAGCTAGGGACCACACCTCATACAGAACACAGGGCAGTGAGCAGGTGGGAAGCTCCAGGGAAGTTTTGTCTAGCAATGAACACACAACTGGCCTGTGCATAGCATGAGGGGCACACAGCCTTCAGAGAAGGCTGGAAGAGAGGGGCAAGAACCAGACTGAGTCTTCTAGAGGGGCTGATGGAGATTTTTAGGGTAGGAAGAAAGAATACCTAGAGGAGGAAGCCACTGGATGGGGAAAGATTTACAGACACAAGAGAGAATGTGTGATAATGAATGGAACCAGTTTCTGGAAGAGGAGGTGTTAGCTTTGGAAGGAGGGTCCACTTTTCCTTCCAGGCACAGGAAAGCAAGAGGAAATCAATGCATAGCATGCATCTGTCAGCTGGGTTAAGAGGGTTTTAAGGGTCACCATGCACATTTTGTCTTTTATCCATTTACCTTTTATCTTGCTACTCTGAGTTGCAGGTAATAGAAAACCCCACTCAAGGTAGCAAAAAGAATTTAAATAATTTTACGGAAATGAAATATCCAGAAGGATTGGCTGCAGGCAAGGGCTGATCCAGCTTTACAACTAGATTCTCCAGAGCTTGTATTCTCTCTGTTCTCCCTACCTCAGGGTTGGCTTCAGTTTAAAGCTGGCTCACTTTCTCAAACTGGTTTTGAAGCCACTCCCTGGGATTGTATAGGCCAATAAGAAAAACTCAGAGGGGACTAGGCAATGGTTGGCAAGGAGACACATGTCCTGCAAACGTGCAGTATTAAGACACTCCACGTGGCAAGCCTAAAGCAGCTTTGGAGGATGCAGAAGGATTACATGTGACTCTTGGCCTTCCACAGCTCTCAGTGAGGCTGGAAAACTGCCTTCTCATGGAAGAGGTATCAGGGAAAGAGCAAGCACTACCCTGGTGGGTTGTGTGTATGTGTGTGTGTGTGTGTGTGTGTGAGGGGTAAGAGACTCTCTTAAGAAGGGATATCATCTGAGCAGAGCGTTGGACTGTCCCTGTGACTAAGAAGAGTTCCTAGTGGCAGAAATGAGGCTGAGTGGTGAGGCCACCAGAAAGCATGGCTGGTACGGGGTCTGGTCATGGAGGGAAGCTGCTCCAAGGAGGAGAGAGAAGAAGGGCTGGCAGGGCAAGGTCCAGGGGTCTTGAGTGTACATCCGAAGAGTTTGAACTTTACTCTGGAGGTGATAAAGAAGTGTAGAAGGACTCAAAGCTGAACTTCAATCAGAATCTTTCTAGTTTAGTCCTCCTCTTGGGAGACAGGAGCCTTCTGGAGGCCTGAAGTGAGTCTCAAGTGTATAAGCCTATGGCAGTTACCTCTGATGGAGTGAGCATCCAGGGATCTCCGCCAGGTTTCAGGGTGGTCTGTGGTCACAAGTGGTGAAGACCAATTGCTCAGGACACTGTGTGGTTGGATGCAGAGAACCGTCCAGAAGTCTGGTTCACTGATCCAGTCTAAGGGTGATTCACATGCCTGTACATACACAGAGAGACAAAGAAAGAGGGGCGGGGAGTGAAGGAGGGAGAGAGAGAAGACAGAGAGGGCTGTCTGGGCATTTTGGATTGTCACTACTGATGGTCATGGGGGCAGATGAGGATGCTATTGGCATCTGTAGCTGCTATAAAATCCAGGACAGATCCTCCTGCAAAGAATTAACTACCACTTCAAAATGTCCGTCTTGCTGCCATGGAGATACCTTGGCATAGAGACTAGGGTTCCAGAAATACTGAACAACTGAACTTGGTAGGACCTGAGGACTGACTGGTTAGGGCTATGGGGGTGTAGGATGGGGGATACAAGCAGGTTCCAAATGACTCTCAGCTGTCTGGCTGTGTTAGTGGTCAGCTGGTGATGCCATTCATCAAAGCAATTCCAGACAAGGACACTCCAATACTTTTAGGGCACAGATCAAATACCTTCCTACCTCCACATCTCCTGCCTTCCTTTGCAAAGTTCTGCAAAGCATCATCTATACTTGCTGTCTCCACATCTATGTCGCATTCACTCCTCCACCCACCATGATCAAACCAATCACAGTAAAGCCATGGCCTTTACCAGGGACTGCCTTAGGAAGAGGCATGCCACTCTGTTGTGTCAGTAGGGCACAAAGTGATGCATCCTCATATTCTTCCTTTTAATCTTGTGGGAAAATCAAATGGGAGGGAGCTGTGATCATGCGGGGACAAGCCTTAGGAAGAAGCTAACACACAGCAGATGGGAATGACCTGTTCTTGGTGAAGCTGTGGAGAAAGAAGCAAGCCAGGAATTGCCCTACCCCCAGACCAGACATCTGTGATGCAGAATCATAACTTCCCTATTGTTTGAGCCACCATTGGTTGGGTTGTGTGTCACCCACAGCTCAAAGCATCCTTGCTGATGATTTCATTCTGCTCCCTGAAACCTGCTTTTGCGCCATCACTGGTAACCAGGGCTGCTGTGTAGAGGCACCACGTATGATACCATATCCTTATTATTTATTATAATAATTTCCCCACAGATGGCAGCAAAGTGTATTGTTCTAATAAAAATCAGTGTCTGCAATAGTTTTCTGATGGAAGTAAATGACCTTGAGAAAAGGACATCTTTTTCTAAATTACCCAAAGGCACCATCTAGCCCTTCATGACTCTCAGCAGTAGCCTGAGCAGGACATTTTCTGCTTCTTGATAAAGTTTGTCCTTGGCTTCCGTGGATCCCCAGTTGCTGGGTTTTCCTTCTCTTTCTGCAGCCTGGCCTTCTCAGCATCCTTCTCTGTGGGTCTAGAGTCTCATACTGCTGATCTTCCAGGCACCATCACTTGTTTGTCTGCCTTCATTTATCCCCGGCCTCCACCTGCTCCCCCAGGCAGAATGACCCCAGGATCCCAACCTAACTCAGCTTTGCCCTTCAGCTGCAGATACCTTACTCAACTGCTGCCAATCCCAACCCCAGGGGCGTTCACAGGCACAACTCAAAGGCTTCTCTCAGTTGGTCTAAATCCTCTAACCCACAGAGGGTCCTGCTGTCTTCCTGCCCCCATCTTTCCAATCACTGAGGTTGCCCATGGGAGAAGCAACTGCAGTCCTGCCTCCCCCTCTTCCCCATACCCAGAACACTGCCAGTGCCCCATGCTGCTTCTCCAGACTCTCTCATGCTGTTGTCCTCATCTCCTACACTGAGGGTCAGGTCCTCAGGCCAGCCTTCCTGAAGCCAGAGCTGCTGCTACAGCCTACTTCCCCTTCCTTCCATGATCTCTTACCTGCATGTAGTCAGACCTGACCCCAGCTTACTGGCCCTTGGCCCCAGGAGGGAGGGCAGCACACTGGTGCAGGCCCCGAACTGTCCCTGTCCCTGCATATCTCTCCTGCTGCCTCTGGCCTTTCCCTCTACCCATGCCAACGTTTCCTCAGTCTGCCCTGTGCCCTGGCCCTGTTCACTGCTGCCACTGCTGCCTCTCCTGTTACAGGGCTATTAGTGCCACATTGAGGCTTTACCACCCGGTCTCTGCCTGCAGGGCTGAAATCGCATCTCAGTCCTTAATGAGATGTCTGCTTCCTCCACTGAAGGGACTTTACTAAGTGTTTCATTGCAAATTCTCTTTAAATAGCCAGGCCCTCAGAACTATTTCAAATAGGATTTTATGTTCTGAAACTCAGTTCGCAACATTTGAGACCAATTCTGGCAGCTGGATGGAAAATAAATCTCATCTGTTAAAAAACAATCCAGTAAAACATGATAAGCCTGTTGTATCTAGAGTGCTCAGTTCCCTATTTTTTCTCTGCTGGTACTTTGGAGAGAGAGAGAGTGAGAGAAAGAGAGAGAAAGAGACAGACAGGAGAGGCCTTTGAGAGAGAGACATTCTACACACACACACACACACACACGCCCATTCACATATGACACACATACAAATGTACCCATACAGATACAAACACACATGCAAACACGTGCATATATGCACGTGTCCTATTTTCTACTCCTTTTCGGGGTTTACGTGGACAG